AAGTGTCGCGGCTGTGATCGCCTCTTCCGGGCAAAAAAATGCTAGAAAAGAAAATTCCTCGCATTTCGTTTTCTGCTCCTCGCTGTCTCAGGTTTTCCGCACCCATGCTTCCTGCTTCGCAACTCCCACTCTGCCTCGCTGATTTGCCCTCCCGTGTTGCCCTCGCCCCTCGCCTTGGCGCTTGTACACCTGTAGCGTCGGTGTTTCAACAAAAAGAAAGAAAAGAAAGTCACCCTTTCTGATGTGTCCCCTCCCCCCTCCACACTGTCCCGGGCTCTCCGAGAAGCAAGGCGTCCTGCCGTCTGCTTGCGTACCGCTTCGGTGGCCGCGACGGATTTCAAAACATGAGTCGTAGTACTGAGGCGTTAATATAACGCAAAACTAAATTAACATTCATTATTCTGAAAAGTTCAGTATTCTGAAGTACGTAGTAGTGAAATAATTTTACATTGAAACTATTAGCACTTGGTGCGAGATTTTTAAATGTTCATTAATCTGAGAAGTTCGTTAATGTGAAGGTCGTTCTACCGAGATTTCACTGTATAGTGTTGCGTGGCAGGAGCGTACAATCACGCCAGCTGTCTGCACATAAGAATTGTTAAATTAGTGGGCATTTTAAAGGCTCATACAAAGCAATCAATGTCAACGGCTGCATATTTTCCCGTTTGCCTAAGCGATGCATGGTTGACCCCGTCCTTAATTTACAAAAGGAACTGTAACTGTATTTGCAACTGTATTTGCAACTGTATTTGCATTCTAAATTACTTTTAAACTGCGAATGTTATGCGTGCTCGTTCTTTTGCGGCATAGTTGAATCATCCGCCGAGAACCAAATTCAAGCTAGCAATTGATGACATTGAAGCACAATCACGTTATCGCATTCTACTCTTCAAGGCGGAGCTCAAGCGTCATCCAAATTTTCATCCAATAGAAAATTCCACACATGAACCAATTAAATAAGTTTCATGCACAGAAAATCACACTGAAAGGAACAATAAGTAGGTGTTAATGAGTGCTGATTCATTATTACAGTGTGAGCATACGAAATATTGTCCTAGTACAAGTTCCTTGTTAGCATTTAGCCGGGGTTATAGTACCTCGGTATTGGTATACAATAGACAAGCTTTGTTTTGTCCTTTGCAATGTTGAAGAGCCGTTCCCCATCAAGCGCTTGAGGGTTCTGCCATGTTGTACACGAATGACAACAATGTCAATTGAGCTAGTAAGAGTGAGGGCAGACTCAGTGGGTACAACAAGAATGTATTGCTGGATGTACGTCTATTGTTTATTGCATGACCGTAGTTATCGATGCAATGGCTGTTTAAATGAATGACAATAAAAATTTCAGTAAAACCCCGATTATAAAACTTTTACGGGACCACCCAAAATCGTCATATAACCGGGCGTTTATAGATCACGACACTCAGCCTTGCCCGAAAAACAAGTACAGACTGCCTAAATAAGCCCACGGCACGACCTTTTGCCTCTGCAATGAGGGTAGATCAAATTATTGTTACCAGTAGTAGCTAATGACAGCAATAATTAGTTGAAAGAGGTCCAAGCAAATCTTTATTCTCAGCCTTAAAACAATCAAATCAAACGCGCAAAATTTTACCAATAAATCAAGTCCGAAAATTGCCTGCGCGTGAAAACGAAACCAAAACCATGTTGCCATGAGCCTCTCATTAGAAGACTCAGAAGCAGTGTCATCGCTATCACATAATGGGTACGGAAAATGAGTTTAAGTACAATGCGTTTGTGCGTTGTAATTTGTTCACTTGTGAAGTGCAACTAGTGGTGTCTCGCTGTTACGAACGTTGACGTCAAGTGAAAGAAATTTTGTACGGCGAAAGCAGCTGCGTGCACTTATGCGTGCACAAACCAGCGACTGCGAGTGTGACAGAGGCAGCCGTATGTCGACCAAGAAATGTTTTGACGGACCAAAAATGTGAAATCAGCTTTTTGATCAGCTGAACCTACTCTACGTGGATAGCGCTTGACTACCGTATAAACCCGACTACAGGTCGAGTGGGAATATAGGTCGACCACATAAGTTCAGGTTGCCGAAAAAGAAAAAAAGGAAAACAACCCAAAATTTCCAAACGACATTTATTTGTGAATTGAGCGCACCGCACCGCGATCGTCAGAGCTCCCCTCAACCACCATTGCAACTGTCCGCATTCGTCAGACAAAGCACCACTGTCTTCTGAAGACGAGAGTTTGTCGCTGGCCGCCTCCTACAGTGCAATGTCTTCCATGCCATACAGCGAGTTGCTGATAGAACACTTGTTAAAAGCTTTTTCCACCATGAAATCTGGCAAGGAACGCCAGGCGGAAAGCACCCAGCCACAAACAGTCGCAAGCGGAGGCCTCTGTAGGCGGCCCGTCGGTGTCTTTGGGTTGTCGCCGGGCATCCACTTTTGGTACTCCAGTCGCACTCGGTCTTTGGACAGCTAGTTTAGCACATCAATCAGTTGGAGGGTGAATGTCATACCACCTGGTATCACGGCAAGGTTTATTTTTCTATCGCCCAGTGCGCCCTTCACAGCGTCATTTAAGTGACCACAAAACGCATCTAACACCAGCATGCTGCAAAGACGCAGCAGTGCACCTGGCTAACGGTTCTAGACTACTCGTATCCATTTGAGCATCATGGCCTCGTCCATGTATCCCTCTTTGTTGACGCGAACGACAACGCCGGGCGGGAACACTTCCTTCGGCATTGTCTTACGTTTAAAAATGTTGAAGGGTGGAAGCTTTCTACCATCTGCCATGCATGCCAGCATGACGGCGAAGCGAGAGTGTTCGTTGCCAGTGGACAACAGCTTCATATCTTTGGCGCCATGCTGCATGATCATGGTCAATGAAGGCATGTCAAACCACAGGGGGTCTCATCGTCATTGTAAATCTGCCCTATCATGTAGTTGTTCTACTCTCGAAGCCGGTTCACGAAGCCCTGAAAATTTATAAGCTTGTCTTCGAACTCGTCTGGAAACTTCTGACAGATGGATGTGTGCCACCGGAAAGAAAATCCTTTGTGCCTCATGAATCGACGCACCCAAGAGTTTAGTGCAGGAAACTCTTCTCATGTGAGCCCAGTTTTCTCGAGAGAGTTCCACAGCTTTCTTGCCAATGGTATTCCACGGTCACTGGCAGCGAGCACGCATGAACTTCCCACATAAAGTTCCCTAGCGTATTCTCCAGCTGCGGATGGATGAACCGCACTTCGCCCACGAAATGACATCTTCCGAGGATTGCACACTTGCAGCTTCCCTTTCTGCACCCTCCAATAGCGCACGCTTTTTTCCGATACCCCGAAGCGGCGCTGAGCAGCCATATTCCATTCGCTTTTGCGAACTCAATGACCTCTAGTTTAAATGCAGCTGAGTACTGCCTTCTCGTACCGCTATCATATTCAGTGAACGAAAAAAGACCACTAAAAATGAAAGAATGTCAAGCAGAGCGAGAAATTAGAACAGATCGGAGGCAAATCACGAACACAAAAAAACAGACAAGAGAGAAAAAAAAAAAACCGGCTATTGGATTTGAATGCGAATGTGGCCGTGCCCAGCTTCTCTTGCACATGCAAGCCACATGTTGCCAGACAGCGATTCACTGTCGGCTAGACACCACTATATAAGACGAGGGGCGACTTTAGCTCGTTGTTTTATTGAAAATATCTCGACTTAGAGTCCGGTTTATACGGTAGGTAATAACCCCGGATACGTATGCACGAGATTGAGGCTTATGTAAAAGTGCATGAACTTCCGAGAGAATAAATTTACCATTCGATGAAGATGACCATTTTTCCTGTAGTCCTTCTTGGGGTACACAAGTTCATATTTTTCACTCGTCAATATTTGGCCGACATGCGATTCGAGTAAACGTGTTTTTTTCTTTCCGACGGAATCTGAAAGTCGTAAGATGTGGGGTCGGCGTAAAACTGCGTTGTATAACCAAGGTTTTAATTACACTGTTTCTATGGGGATTTTGCCAGGACCAAACCGATTCGTCTTAAAAAGCAGGTCGTCGCGAAACCGGGGGACATATAATCGAAGTTCCTCTGTATAGACTGATGATAGTCATGTAGATATCTGGAATGTTAAATAAATACCTGGACAAACGTAGCCGTCGAAGGGACCGGACAGGCACTACTGTGGCACCCGCTTTCATTACGTTTCGGACATCTTCCCTGCTCCTCATTAGAGACCGCGTCTCTAATTTTTCCAACTAGTATTGGATGCTTCCAGTGAATATGCGCTTGTGTACTAGCACAAGTCGGTCATATACGAATTCGGGTCAGTGTGGTTCATGATTGCGGGATTAGTGTACTAGGAGCCTGTTCCTAATTGCTGCCAGTGAACAGGCTAGGCCTGGCTGATTCTGGCGTGAGGCGAGAGTATTATTTTCGTTGAAGTTTATAGTGTTGAGTAAAATCGTTTAACTTTGTTAGTCCATCTTCTCAGAGAAAATTTATATGATATGCACTTGGTAAACAAGAAACTCGGTATCATGGCACAAAAAATGTTCAGTGAACATATGAGCAATGCCCAGCCAAATACAATGCAAACAGTGCTGAGAAAAATACTTTAACAAATGAAGTATGCAATAGAACCCCTTATAAGAGACATGCACTGGGGAGCAATTTATGTCTATTATGTATATGAGGCCTCTCTTACAAGCAAGCTATCAAGTTTGCATTTGCTTATCTATCCATGATTTAATGTAGACACACTGGCGTCTGTTGCACTCAACCGCCTGTTGTATCAGTGTCTCTTACAAAGGGTTTTAACTGTACAACTGGATCAACTTATATCGATACTGGTTTGAAAAAGGTATTTATGGACGTAGTTTCCAATTATAGTACAGAAAAAATCCTAAATCTACTGAAATATTGCCATTATAACCAATAAATCATAATATCCGTAAACTTTCTAAGCAGGTTCATCGCAGGGCCTCTGAAGTAGCGATCTTTCACTGTAGTTGGATTAACCACTGACCTGGCGCATGCCCTCGTGATCACCAGCAGCTACTTCGAGCACGTCTTGAAGGAATCCACTGGGCAGTCGCTGCTCCAGCAGAGGATCCAGCAGCAGGCTTCGTTTCCAGGGGGCACTAACAAGGGTGCAAGAAAGACTGCATTATTGCCAAATGGTGCAGGGATGGCATTTCTCTCCTCCTCCTCACTTTTCAATGCAGTATAGTCGTTGTGAAACTTTGGACACAGTAATAATATTATGTAGGACACTTTCAAGTTCATGAAGTGCACTGGCTCGACCCGGATTACTGGCACAGACAACTTTAGCAGGCAGTGGCCTATCCACCTGAACCAAGAAGCGCATGCTCTGGATTGCCATAATAAGCGGCTCAGTCAGTGACCCTGTTGTTGGAAGACATCGCTCTAGACATGCACAGGCCTATCTCTCAAGCTGCGGAGGCAATCAGTTGTTATGTTTCCATCACCTAAGACTTCTTAAGGTCCACCAGACTCAAGCGAAAAGTGGTCAGTCTAGTGACATTATTGAATTACTATTATAAAATGCACTTTTTTTAAGGTCCAATACAGTGGTGAAGAAGAGGGGAGGGGGAGGTTCAGCTTACAGTCCTGTGAATAGAGTAACTTCGATTTGAGAGTGCTCAATAACCTGATTTGTATTAATCACAGACGCTTCCACATTTAATGCACATATATATTCTATAGAAAGGATAGGAGGAATATCTCAATTGGTAGAGCATCGGGCGCATTAGTAAAAGTCACGCATTTAGTCCCTCCCCATGGCAAGTTATCTTTTCATGCATTTTCTCCACATTTGCATTCCAATTACTTCTCATTACATCCCCTACACTTTCTTTGACATGATTGTCTGTTAGATCTCAATAATAATTTGGAGACGTTAGACAAGAGGGATGAAATTTTGCTTATTATGTATCGATGCCCAAACAGCCAAAAAGCTCTTACCTAGGTCCAGCCAGAAAGCCTCGCAACAGCAGCACGGCCAGCCGCACCACTTGCGTTCGCACCTCCTGCAACACCAGTGGATCCTGCATGCCCAATGCATTATAACTTATCCTTGTCCTCTGGGCTCAGCTCAATTACCAACAGCAAATAACAATCTTTCTCCTCTCTGAAACTGTTTTACGCACACCTACCACTCATTATCTAAAACTTTTGCTACTACAACATTTAGAAACAAAGATACAGGTAAGGTTATTGTTATCAGACCTGAATTTCCCCAAAGTGTGTATACGAACAATCAATCCTAACAGCGGAACTGTTTAAGACCAACTTAATAGAAAAAAAAAGTCTGTGGAGCAATGATGTCACTCTGCGATGCCCAGCAGCCGCCTGTGCAGGTCCACGCTGGCTTCACTCTACCAAGCTGCTGATTCCAGCTGTGCACTACTGTGCATGTGCCGTGCGACAGAAGTGATGTCTTGGCTAACTCAGTGGTGTCACCCACAAAGTGAGATTTGGCGCAGTTTTTGAAGCAGCAAGATAGTAATTTTGGAAAATATTGGAGCACTTCAAAGCAACTATTTGGCCACCACTAAAGACTTCCAAGAGATCTTGAACACATTGTTTGCCAAGCATAATGATTCCAAATAGTACTGGCATGTTCTAAAGAAGGGGGTTGGCAACCTTTTGGGGCGGAAGGCCAAGCTGCATAAAACCAACACAGCTTGGGGCCACATAGAAAGTAGGAAGAAGAGGAAAGGAAGTTGCAGGTAAAGCTTAAAAAATTCAGCGAATGGACAGTACTTTTTAAAAGTAAATTAAAAATCATGTTTACTTTGAGCAAAAGTCCCATTTTAGGTAAAAAGTGCCATGTCGGCGATGAGATAGGCAGTAGCAAGGAAAAGGGAGACGGGGTGTGGGCACATGTAGAGGACGACATAAGACAGCCGCCACGTGGGGCTTGCGAGCTGTCGATCCCTTCTCTAAAGTAATGCTACTGTAAACTCAAAATAAAATAAAACAAAAACAGTAACTAAATAGTTCAAGTAGCGAAGAAGTTTTACAGAGATCTGTACAGCAGCTGAAACAGCTAGGAAGATAACGTAAGATGCAGCAATAGCCCAGAAGAATCTCACATTCCACTAGTAAGAACAGGGGAAGTAAAGAAAGCCCAAGATAGAATGTAAAAAGACAAAACCGCTTGTGAGGATAAGGTAACATCAGAGTGTTGAAATATAGGGGAGAGATTGTGTTGGAAATACTGTTGGAAATACGAAGTGTTTCCTGATGGGAAGCGTACCAGCATCTTGGAAGAATGCCAACATCATCTTATTTCATAAAAAAAAAGGACATCAAGGACTTGAAAAAAAAAAAAATCAGGCTGATCAGCTTACTCTCCGTTGTCTACAAGCTATTCACAAAAATAACAATAAAACTAAAACAATATTAGAGTTCAATCAACCAAATGACCAAGCAGAATTCTCTACAAGCTACTCAACAATAAGCCATATTCATACTATCAATCAGGTGGAGAAATGCAGTGATGTGATTGGCTGAGGCCATATTGGAGCAGATTTACAGGGCTCGGAAAAGCACCTTAGAGAGCAGGAAAAAGGGCTTTTGGAGCCGCCAAAAGTGTATTCTAGAGAAGAAAAAAAAGGTTTTTCGAGCTGCCAACAGATAATTTCACAGCTGGAATAAAAAAATACCTTACTTGCAACCAGTAGCATAATAAATACAGCAGGGAATAAGGCTGTTAGGGATGCTAAAGGGTCATTGCGAAGTGAGAAAACGGAATTTGTGACAACTAAAACAGCTTAATAAAGCATAACTAAGAAGCATTTCATAACATTCCATGCACATACAGCTCAAACTACTGAAAGCGTAACTGCGCATACGGCATGACTGGCTATAAAACCCCCTTTTCTTACTAGCGTTTGTAATCCCATAAAACTACATGTATATGCATATCGCTTATTGTACAGCCCATAAGATAAAAGACCGGTTCTAATGTGGCTCAAAGAAGCGAGGCAATGATCGGGCTTTTCACAGGAGGTATGCCAGCACGAAGAGACAGCGACGAAGGCACTACGAAGGAGGAGGGAACACGAAAGAAACTAAAAAGAAGCAGGGCATGGGGAAGAAAAGAAGAAAGAAAATAAAAAGAAGAAGATTAGCCATGTAAAGTTTAGGTAACAGCGAAGCTGGCTGACCTTAAGTATTCAACGTAGGCTCTTGGCTGATGTTAGGTCTTTGCTTGGCGTAAACTGAGTAGAACCACAGCCTGTCCCATACTATGCAAGTGTCCAAGCTTCAGTGCCAGACCTAATCTGGAAATCTGGCACAGGCCTATCATTGCTGGTGCTCTGCTAGCACCACGGCATGCAAACACGACATGGCAACTGTCTCCATTAGTGGCCGTGGATTGGCAGCGGTGGCTGCTCTTCTGTGTATGCAGGGATGGGCAGAGATAAACACAGGTGGTGAGCAGCCAGTGCAGCTGTAATATGTCCCCCTCTAGCCACCACAGCAGTAACGGCATAAAAACTTTTTTGCGGACACCCAACGTTTTGCTTAGCTTCACTCTTGAAAACAATGCTTCCCGGGCACGCGGTGTGAAAACAGGTAGGCGTTGGAAAAGCCTTTGCTCCGGCCGCTTGCCGCCTGCTCCATGCATATGCTCCGTGACAAACAGCCTTCCCCGTCGGTGTCAGAAAATAGTTGCGCCGTCATTGAGTGCAATATCACACGTGCAACCTATATTTAAGTGTCAGTGAAGGCACTGTTCCACAAATGAAAAGGCTTCCTGATGCGGGCTCTCACTTTTCCCACTAGCAGGCGGGCTTGCAAGCTTGGCAGGCTTTAGTTCTCACAGCTGTTCTCGCGAACCTGTACCCAAACTTGATTCGGAGGGTCTTGCCCTTGGTTGAGTTCGTGAGAGCAGACTTGTTTGCACCCCATCTCACGTTTTCTAGCGCGGACTTGATAGGGCGGTGCGCCAACGGAGTTTCACGTTTGCAGTATATTGACCTAAAGAGCACTAATAGTGTAACTACCTTATGGATTGCAGCCGCGAATGTGCAATTAGGTGCTGATTCAGTGAAACACTCTGCAGTGGTGACTTTTTGAAAGAAGTAGATATATTGTCACGTGGTCATGATGTGTATGAAAACAGCAGTAAGCTTCCTGAAGGGGAAACACTTTATTCGGCCGAACCTGTGGCAATGAAACTGAAAGTCAGGTTACAGCAAGCAATACACGCTGTAAACTGTTATTGCCACACAAGGCGTCGGTCATCAATCAACTAATCATCTTTCAGATGTGCAGTCTTTTATACGTCACGCGTCGAACTTTCCAGTCTTGTCCCTGGTGGTCACGCAAGCTCTGGAATAATCTTGAGTGTTTACGTCCTGTGCACAATCTTAAGAAAATGACCCACTGCAACCAAGGAGCTTCTTGAACATTACAGCGTGACCTGGGACAAGTATTGATTGATATGTGGGGTTTAACATCCCGAAACCACTATATGATTATGAGAGATGCCGTAGTGGAGGGCTCCGGAAGTTTTGACCACCTGGGGTTCTTTAGCGTGCGCCCAAATCTGAGCACACGGGCCTACACCATTTCCGCCTTCATCGGAAATGCAGCCGCTGCAGCTGGCATTCGATCCTGCAACCTGCGGGTCAGCAGCCGAGTGCCTTAGCCACTAGACCACCACGACGGGGCCTGGGACAAGTATTGCTCACAGTCACAGTTAGCATTGACACAATGAAAGATGATCTGACTAGTATCATTAAAGAGTGTGCTGGCGGTCGTAGGTACAGTCACTAGACAGGAAAATGCCAAGCTATTCAAGGAGACAAAAAATCTAAATAAGAGACGGCACCATTTAAACCTTCAATGCAACTGCCATAATAGAGCTAGAGGAGCGTTCTAAGTTATTCAATAGGCATAAGGTAGCCGACATCAGAAGGTATAACATGGAGAGAATTGAGCAGGCTGTAAGAAGCGGCAGAAGCCTAAAAGCTATGAAGGCAGACTTGTGCATAGGCAAAAATGGCATGTATGCATTAGGGACAAGGAAGGCAATGTCATAACCAATACGGATAGGATAGTTGAGGCAGTGGAGGAGCTCTACAGAAAGCTGTACAGGAGCCAAAACAGCCAGGATGATACCGTAACAAGCAATAATAGCCCTGAGCAATCTGACAACCTTGCAGTACCGACAGGTTGTCACGATTTATCTTGGGAGCACTTGGAAAGGACTAAATTAAGAAAGCCAGGAAATGGGCATGGCAAAACAAACACGCTTTATACAAAGTATGGATGAAGCAAATACAATAAATTCGCATTAAAGCACTAAAAGTTCACTAACATTACGTGTACACAGCAGTGCATAAAGGACTGAAAACAGAACTAACGACAAACTGCGTTAAAGCCAACTCTAGCTCTAGCCAGTAGCAATCCAGTACCGAAACGTTCTTAAAGGGCCACTCACCAGGTTTGACAATTTTGAGCTGACAAGCGCAATGCGTAGACGAGGCGTTCATGATCACATCTACCGAAATTTGCAACGCACCACGGAAATGGGTCGTATTTCAAGATGAACGCTGCTCCCCCTCCCCTCTGCCGGAGCACGCCTAAGAATGAGGGCATGCCGTCGGCGTATGAATGGCCCTACGTACACAGCAATGAAATGATGTTGGTCCTTTACGTAGACGACTCTGCTCTGACGTTACGTGACATGGCAAAAATTATTTAACACAACATGCGTAGTCTATGCATTTGTTGCTTTAAGAGATTAATAAAACTTGAAATAAAGTATGAGACGCAACAAAAAATTGTGCACGTTTTTCTTTCATTTTTTTCCGTGAAATGCAACGAGATCTGGGGCTAATGTGCCAGTGTTTCGCATGTGTTCGTGTTCCCGCGGTCAGCGCATTGAGCAGACGACCGCCTAGAACGCTCCTCCGCGTTCGCGTACTCATTGTGCTCATCTGCTCTACCACGTCTAAGCCAGCGTTTCCAAACCATCCCGCAGAAACAGGCAGAAGACAACAAAATAACGCTGGTCAACAAATAAACG